AAAAAAAAAAGAAGAAGAAGAAAGAAATTGTTCAGAGTAATCCAAGGGAGCCGGTGGTTGATACAGGAACATTCAGCGACTGCTTGCTCTTACAGAGATGGCAGCTGGAGCCGGTTCAGCCTCGAGTCATGAAGGATTGGGTTGGAATGTCCGGGACATTCCAGCCAGGTGGTCCCGTCACCCTGCACTTGAACCCTCCGTTCATAGCTGCTTGTGTTTCCTCTGCATTGGCCCCAGCCCTACCGACACCCGTTCCATACGAAGCCTTTTGAATTTTCAAAGACGTCACACGGCAGAATTTAAATCTCACTTTTCAGGACTGTTTATTTTTGATCCCAGTATAAACATAACCCTTGTAACCGTTTGCTCAAGGTGAGGCCTTGGTGTTGCTCACAGGGTAATAATGTCGTCAGGCAATGAGGTGGCTCAGCCTAGGACTAGGTAGCCCACATGTAACATTTTTGTGTTATTTCTCCACATTTGAAAGAAGTTTTTCCTTCCGGATACCAGATAGGGTTTGTTCTCTTTTTCTGTAGGACTTTGTGCCGTGTGTGCCTGTTGCCATCTCCAGGCCTCTCTGGGGCCCCGGGCGAAGGCATGGGGGAGGGGAAGGGCACGTGCGATGCTGGAAAGCCCAGCCTGAGACGTGCAGAGCCGATGGTTTGAGGGGTGCCCAGCCTGTCTTGGGAGGAGCCCACGGTGAGGGGCCATGCAGTGTCCGGGGGCCAGGGAGCCTTATCCCAGCTGGACCGCTCCCGTGGCCGTGGTCTCATTGTGGTCTTGGGCACCTGGTGTCCCTGGATGTCCACTCATATCCTGAACGTGGTTCTCCAGTCTTCCCATCAATCTGGGTACAGTCCAATCTCTTTTCAACAAAGTGCCTTTCTATCTAAATTTGCTAAGATCTCTTGAGCAAGGAAGAAGCTTGCAGACACAGAGGCTAGGTAATACGGCCAAGGTGCCCCAGATAGGGCGTGAACCTCCAAGTCCAGCCGCTCCGCTCCGCTGGACTGTGCCCTTCCTCGTGACTTAAATCAAGAAGAAAGAAATTAATTTTTTTATTTTGGTGCTAATAATCTTTCTCTTTTTTTAAACTATCATATTGGTTTTGTTTTTGTTATTGACAACATGCACAACACTGGAATTGTGTTATTATTTTACTTAATGTCCATAGATATGCACTAAAAATGTTTACATTTAAGAAAAATCACACATTATGTAAGTCCTATGTAAACATAACCCCTTTTCAATATGTTTTCCTGCTTTGTTTCACACATAAATAGCAGTTTACAAAGTTATAAAACTATCCGTTTTTTTAATTTTTTTAATGTTTATCTATTTTTGACAGAGAGACAAAGCATGAGCAGGGGAGGGGCAGAGAGAGAGGGAGACACAGAACCCAAAGCAGGCTCCAGGCTCCAGGCTCTAAGCTGTCAGCACAGAGCCCAACATGGGGCTCAAACTCATGAGCCATGAGATCATGACCTGAGCCAAAGTCGGACGCTTACCTGACTGAGCCACCCAGGTGCCCCAAAACTGTCAGTTCTTACGGCCCAAAGTACATACAGGTTCTGGAGCATGACAGAATGTTCTCTTTATGATTATGATTTGTTTTGTTTTGTTTTGAGAGAGAGAGAGAGCATGAGCAGAGAGAGGGGCAGAGGAGAGAGAGAGAGAGAGAAAGAGAGAATCCCAAGCAGGCTCCATGCTTAGCATGGAGCACAGTGCAGGGCTCAATCCCACGACCCTGGGATCATGACCTGAGCCAAAGTCAAGAATCAGACACTCTGACTGAGCCACCCATGAGCCCCCTCTCTTTATGATGATTTCATAACTAGCAACATGTACTGTTACAGTGCTTATCTCAGTCCAATGACTTATAATCAACCACAAGAGGTTATTGAGCCAGTATCACCAATAATACACCCATCAATGCACTTGCTGAAAGATACACGTGTTTAAAAAGTTAAAATAGGGGGCGCCTGCGTGGTCAGGCAGTTAAGCATCCGACTCTTGATGTCAGCTCACGTCATCGTCTCGTGGTTTCATGAGTTCGAGCCCTGTGTTGGGCTCAGCACTGACAGTGTGGGGCCTGCTTAGAATTCTCTCTCTCTCCCTCTCTCTCTCTGCGCCTCCCCAACCCCTCAAAATAAATAAATAAACTTAAAAAAAAAAAAAGGTTTTTAAGGGCACCTGGTTGGCTCAGTTGGTGGAGTGTGTGACTCTTGATCTCAGGGTCGTGAGTTAGAGCCCCATGTCAGACACACATTACTTTAAAAAAAATAAAAAGTCAAAACAGTCAAATGGCTACATTTTAAAAACAACAGCAGAGAAAGCTGCTGTTTGTTTGTTTGTTTTATATAGACAGAGCTGGAGAGGGGCAGAGGGAGAGAATCCTAAGCAGGCTCTGTGCTGTCAGTGTAGGACCCAACGTGGGGCTTGAGCTCATGAAACGTGAGATCACGACCCAAGCCGAAATCAGGAGTTGGATGCTTAACCTATGGAGCCCTCTAGGCACCCCAGTTTCAGATCAGTTTGTGCCCTTGCACATGTCTTAGTGGCTGGTTCAGTTTTAGATGCCAGCATCTGTCATTTCAAATGATGCTTCCCACAAAAATGTCTCCTACGGCTGCTTCCCTAGCCCACAGCGGTAATGGTTTACTCCCAGCTGAGCCTCTGGGGAGGGGAGCTCACCTCTGGAAGCCCTGGGCTCCTGTTCCCGCATCTCTGATGCACGGCCAGGTTGTAGATGCCGACAAGAGGCACATCACCCGACCTCCTGTTACTGGTGACCATATGGAGGGTTTTTTCCCTTTCTGCTTCTAAGTCTTGTCACGGAAACAGGCAGTGGTGTGGGGGAAATGTGTGTTCTTTCAGCTGGGCTCCCAAATCAAAAGCCAGGTCATTGAGAAAATGACGATATTCCCTCTGTTCTTGCCATGAGATGCACCATTTGGTCTCATTTAGCAACGTAAACCATGCAGGGGAGACAAGGGAATACTCTGGGCTTAGTTTCCACATAATTTTCGGATTGATCACTCGGCTCTTCTAACCAACTGAGATAACAGGCCAACTGCTCCAGTCACATTTTAAAAACACACTTTATGCCTGACAGTGCACAGAATATTTCTGGAGGGAGCCATAAGAAACCAGTAGCAAGCTTCCCCTCAAGCCTGAGGGCCGCAGAAGGGAGTGAGCTTTATACTTCTGCACCTTTCGGAGATGTATCATGTGTATTTACTGCTGACGTAAAACCCCAAACAACATCTGTAATCACTGTTTGCCACTGTCTTCTGTTGTTAGTCTTAGGGACCCGTGTAGCTTAGGGATTCAGAGACTGATCAGGGAAGGAGCAGTCCAGCCTCCTAGGCTGGGGTCCGCATCTGGATTTGCTCTACTGAAGCTTACCAAGAATTCCAAGGAAAAGAACGCCCAGAAAACACCGTCCAGCAACGTGGTTGAAGGGAGAAGTCCTTCCCCCTTTGCTGTGCTTTCCCTCCAGGCTGGCAGTGGGAGGTGGGGTCTCCCTCTGCGTCAGGGGCCAGAAGACAGGAGACAACATCTCATTGTCACCAGTGGCGAAGGGGAGTGACCAGAGCCAGAGAAAGGCAGACTTCGTGGCCAGTACTGCTCCACTTGGCTGCTCTCTGGGATCTCCTGCATAGCATTTAACCACAGCTCCTGCCTGGAGCCACTGCCCAGATTGATTTACTCGGGGTGTGGTCGGGGTGTGGCATCAGGATTGTGAAAGTGGTTCTCAGGTGGAACCACGGCCAAGAACCAGGGCCAGGGAGGACCTGCGTCCCTCAGCCAGAGCATGTCACCAGCGGCTTCACGCTCCTTAGTCGCCTGGGCTCCGGAAAGCAGTTTCCCTGGGCAGACTGGTCAGCAGTCGGGCCCATGGCCGTCCAGAGGCTCCTCCCACAAGGTGGGTCTGGGAAACCAGGGCTGTAGGCTGGGTGTGAGTAGTTGTGTCACTCTGAATGGAGGCCTCGCTCTTACATAGTCTTGGGGTGCCTTCCCACTGTGCCCTGCTGGACACCCTGCTTCTGACAGATAAGGGCAGCTACAGCTCAGAGACCCTGAGCTTCCTGCCCTGTGTGTTGAAGCTCTGAAGTAAGAGAACGTCACAGACAGAGCTTGTAAAATGGAGTATTTTAGCATTCTGATCTCTCACTCGGTTTTCTGTCCTTTGCCAAAGGAATGTGTGCTGTACATGCGTCCACTATCCTTCCCTTGCAGACACAACATCCAGATCTTTCCCGAAGGTCAGGCCTGATCCCAGGTTCCGCTTCCGCTCTTTCCCTAGCTACTCCTCCAGACGCTCCTGCCCCACTCCCCCACCCCATGCCAGCCGCTTGCGTTTAATGAGGTCTTTGGTCATGAGTCATTGTTTGATTCTCTTGTGTCCAACTCATTACCTTGGACAGGCACACCTTTTCTGACTTCCAAGACCTTAACAGTCAAGTCTCTGCACTAGGGAGAATGCACACAGATTCGTTTGGTTTCCTTTTTAAATTGTGGTAAAACCCACTTAACGTTTAACACCTAGAACTTACCATTAGTGACATGGAATACATTCACAGTGTTTTGCAGTCATGGCCACCGTTTTTATCACCCCAGTGGGAAACCCTGCACCCACTAGCAGTCTTCCCCTGTTTGCCTGTCCCCAGCCCTGGTACCCAGCCATCTCCTTTCTGCCATTATGGGTTTGCCTGTTGCGAACAATTTCACGTAAACGGAGTCATACCACGTGCCGAGTGTGGAGTCTGGGCACCTCACGGAGCCTCGATGTTTCCAAGGTTCATCCATGTTGCCACAGGCGTCGGTGCTGATTGCTTTTTACCGCCGAAGACTATTCCATTGTGTGGATTTGCGCGTTTGCTGCATCCATCTGTTGAGGGACATTAGGGTTGTTACAAATAACGAAGCCATGAACACTTGTTTACAAGTTTTTATGTGAGTCTGGTTTCGGTTCTGTCGGGTGTATACCTACAAGTGGCATTGCTGCATCATAGGGTAATTCTGTGTAGACGTCTGAGGAGCTGTCACACTGTTCTCCACAGTAGCTGCACCGGGTCCCACGTTCTCCACATCCTCACTGACACCTGTCATCTTCCTTTTCCTTTCTTTTTTAATGTTTGCTTATTTATTTTCAGGGAGAGAATGCGGGAGTGGGAGGGGCAGCGAGAGAGAGGGGGAGAAAGAGAATCCCAAGCAGGCTCTGCGCTCAGCGTGGATCTCATGACTGCGAGATCACGACCTGAGCTGGTATCAAGAGTTAGATGCTCAACGGACTGAGCCACCCAGGCACCCCTCTCTCTCTCTCTCTCTTTTTTTTTTTAAATTAAAGCTACCCCAACCTTCCCACATAGGCCACCATTTCCATCGATACCTCAGGCTGGTGGGAGGCAGGTCGGGCGTGCCCAGACCTGCGCTGGCCAGGCTTGTTAATGTGTGACACATGGGTTTATTATTGTCAGCCTCGGCCCCAGCCCCGCCCTGCCCTCCCTGGGCTTGCCGCGGCGTCAGCAGACAGGAGACACTGGAGTGTGAGGGGTGAAAGTTTTCCCTGCCCGCTGGCTCCACACAACCGGTCTGCCAATTAAAGATTTTCTTGGGTGGCATTTGTGACACCCTAAACATTCGTGGAGCTTTTGTTTCTTGGGCCGGTGGCCCGCAGTCCCGGCTGCAGCCGGGCTGAGAGGCCAAACGCAGCGGAGCCCCGGACGGCTGTCCGGTGCGGCAACCTTTTGACTGTCCCTGTTTTGTTGACGCAGCGACCAGGAGTGGCACTCTGGGATGTGCACGCGATGATGGGCAGCAAGGACTTAGAAGCTGAAATCCATCCCTTGAAGAACGAAGACAAGAGGTTGCAGGAGAATCTGGGAAGCCAAACGACAAAGGAGGACAACCCGAAAGGCTTGCCTCGGCAGCCCGGCCTCTCCGGCTGCCGGACAGTGGCGTTTTTTCTTTCACTGTTTGTCTGCCTTTTTGTGGTGTTCGTGGTCTCGTTCATCATCCCCTGTCCGGACCGGCCCGCGTCCCAGGGGACATGGAGGGTCTACTACAACGCAGCAGGTGTGCCTGGGAGTGGGCGGAGGGGAGCGTTGAAGTCCAGGGTGGCCTGCAAGCAAGAATCAGCCCGAAGCGGCTGCCAGTCCCGCGTCCAGGTTTTTCTTGGGACCGTAAGGCCTGTAGAGCAGCCTCTCGGCAAACGTGGGGCACGACCCTGGCAGCGCGGTGGCCTGCTCTCCTTTTAGGAAGGATGGGTTGGTTCAATCAAGGAAAGCCGCCCCTTTGGTTACATTTTGGAATTTTTAAAAAATTAATAAAACAGCACCGGGCAGCACAGATAGAGGGGAGGCCGTGGTGAACTGAAATCCGCAGATCTGGGAGTCGGGTCTCCTGAAGCGCTCCGGCTAACTTGCGGGCGGCTGAGCCGGATCCAGCACACTCGGTGTCTCTCGTGAAATCCACAGTGTGGAATCGTGGCCTTTATGAAAAGCCATCGAGTCAGCCCCACTCGACACTCTGCCTCATCTCACAGTGGGGGCGCCTGCAGTGTGCACACGAGTGGGCACCGCCGAGGCTCCGTGACCGCGGCCGGGGGCGGAAGAGGGGGTTTCTCATCTAACCCCCACAGCCCGTTTTATTCAGGTTTCATGCTTCATTTTGAGGAGGAGGAATAATGTATGTCTCTGTGTTTATTTTTGCAGCTTTTGTTGAGGTATAATTTATATGTCAAAAGATTCACTTGTTTTAAGTATAGGACTCAGTGATTTTTAGCCAATTCACAGAGCACCTGTGCACCTATCAGCACATTCCAGTTGTAGCAGATTTCCGTCATCCCGACAAGATTTCTTGTCCTCCCCACTCCCCTTCCCCCAACGTAGGCAGCCACTGTTCGCTGTCTGTGTCCACACACTTGCCTTTTCTGGATACTTCACGTGAACAAAGCCACTAGACCTGTATCTGGGAGCCTGGCCTCCCGCACGGAGACAAGTCTGTCCCCCTATTCACGGCATGTCCCCCTGTTCTTTCTGGTGCTGAGCAGGGCTCCTCCATGGGGGTGGGCCGCATCGTTCATCTGTTCACCCATTGGTGGGTATTGGGTTGTTCGTCGTTTGGCTTTGCTAACGCTGCTGTGAACATTTACGGACAGTCTTTGCACGGACACGTGTTCTCATGTCTCTTGGGTAGGTTGCTAGAGGTGAAACTGTTGACGCTGATGGTAAGTTCATGCTTAGCTTTCCTGGTAAATGTCGAGCTGTATAATTATATCGGGCTGGAGAGGATTCTAGATTCTCCACGTCCTTGATAATACTCGTTGTTATCTGCCTTTCTGGTTCCAGCAGACGGTATAAAGTGGTGTCCCGTCGTGGTTTTAATTTGAATTTCTCTCGTGACCAACGATGCTGAGCATCTCTTCACAGGGTGTCTCCCATTCTTGAATCTTCTCTGGTATACGTCTATTCAAATCTTTTGCTCATTTAAAAGATAGGATTTTTTAATTTTTGAGTTATACAAGTTCTTTATATATTGTAGATGCAAGTCTTTTATGAGATACATGATCTGCAAATATTTGCAACCACTCTGTGGCTTGTCTTTGCACTTTTGTGAAGGTGTCTTCCAAAAAAGCACAAAAGATGTAAATTTTGATGTAGTCAGGTGTATGTTTTTTATTATGGATCATGCTTTTGGTGCCAAGAACTCTGCCTAATTTAAAGCCGTGAAGGTTTTTTTTCCCCTGTATTTTCTTCTAGAAACTTTATAGTTTTAGCCTTTCAACTTAGGTCTCTAGTCCACTTTTCCCCCTAAAGTTTATTTATTTATTTATCTTGAGAGAGAGAGAGCGAGAGAGAGAGCGAGCATGCGAGCAGGGGAGGGGAAGAGGGAAAGGGAAAGAGAGAATCCCAAGCAGGTTCCACATTGCTGGCATGATCACAAACCTTGAGATTATGACCTGAGCCTAAGTCAGACACTTAACCAACTGAGCCACCCAGGTGCCCCTTTCCAGAAGTTCTATCATCTCAACAGAAACTCTGTACATACAGTATTTTTCCTTTTGTATCTGGCTGCTTTCACGGAGTCTAATGCCCTTCGAGCTTGTCCGTGTCGTAACAGGTGTCAGAATCTCCTTCCATTTTATGGGAGAATCCTATATACTGTGTGTGGACTGCATCTCGTTTATCCCTTCTTCTCTTGGTGGACACTTGGCATGTTTCCACCTGGTGGCTGCTGTGAGTAATGCAGTGAACTTGGCTGTGTGGGAATCGAGTCCCTGTTGTCGGTTATTTTGGGTAAAAGTATGAGGTAGTGTCTCCTTATGGTTTTGATTTAATTTCCCTAATTGCTGTTGATGTTGAGCATCTTTCGGGTGCCATGGCTATTTCTCTCTCTTCTTAGGAGACATGTCTCTTTGAGTCCTTTGCCTGTTTTTACACTGGGTTGTGGAGTCACAGGAGTTCTCTCTCCCGGGTATCGGTCCCTCATCAGATATCTGATTTGCAAATATTCTCTCCCACTCTGTGGGTTGCCTTTTCACACTCTTGCCAGTGTCCTTTGATGCACAGAAGTTCTAAATTTTGATGAACTCCAATTTGCCTAATTTTTCTTTTGTTGCCTGTGCCTTTGGTGTCACATCCAAGAAATCATTACCAAATCCAGTGTCAGGAAGACTTTTCTCTATGTTTTCTTCTAGGAAGCTCTTAAATTTAGGTCTTTGATCCATTTGGAGTTCATTCTTGTATACGGTGTAGGATAAGGGCCCAGCTTCATTCTTTTGGTGTTTGATTTGAGTCCTTGAACGAAGGGAAGACGTAGACCCTTACGAGTGGTGGGGTGCGGACTCCTGGACCCCAGACTGATGTCGGGAGGGATTCCTTCCTGAATAAAAGGTGTTCAGAGGACGCATGTGTGCACCCCAGCGTCCTGCTGATGCCTGACATTTCATCTGTCGTGTTCGTGAAGGACACGTGTGCTCGGAAGAAGCCGCTGCTCTTATGGTGGCCTCATGCTGGCAGGTGCTAACTGGCGCCAAGCCTCAAGGAGCACAGAAGTAGGTTGAGCCAGGGGCGTGCAGCTGGCTCAGTTGGAAGAGTGTGCGACTCTTGATCTTAGGGTTGTGAGTTCAAGCCCCAGCCCGTGTTGTGCGTAGAGATGACTCAGGAAAGAAAAGAAAAATTAAAAAAAAAAAAAAAAAAAAAAAGAAGTGAGTCATGTCAGACTTGGCCTGGCTTTTACACCGGGCACGGCCTGAGGACTATACTCTGTGGTTTTCTTTCTCAGTCACCTATGACTTTCTGGCTACAGAAGACATAAACAGGGACAGGATCCAAGACGTTCTCTTTCTGTATAAAAATAGCAACAGCAGCAACAATTCCAACCTGTCCTGCGCTGACGAAGGTAACTGTTTTTATCTGAAAAAGGAGGAACTTGCCGTGGGTGGAGGGATCCTCCCCCCTTTGCCACCTTTGAGGAAAACAGATGGTGGCGTTTCTGTAACCCGGCACGTTGCCCTTCCCAGCAGGACTAGGAGGAGACAAGGGGGCAGCCCTGGTCCCAGCACCCTGGCCTCCGTGCGGCTCCTGACCCCATGGGGCCAGCACTAGGGTCCCCGTGAGCCCAGTGGTAGCGGCCTGGGCCCGGGAGTGGGGTGTGGGGAAGAGGGCCTGTCGCGCCCCACAGAGTTGGGTCTCTCCCCTCCAGGCTTTTCTTCCCCCTGCACCTTTGTGGCCGCTGTGTCAGGGGCCAATGGCAGCGTGCTCTGGGAGAGGCCCGCAGCCCAGGACGGCGCCCTTGTGCAGTGTGCTGTCCCACAGCCACAGGGCGGCAGGACATCGTCTGCCTGCATCCTCGTGGGCAGACCCAGTTCCTTCGTCGCTGTGGACGTGTTCACAGGTAGGCGGCTCCGCACGGGAGGTCCCACACCAGGCAGCCCTCAGGAGGTTCAGCCGTGTTCTCGGGGCCAGTAAGACGGTTTCCAGAGTGGGAGGGAGCCTCCGTGGGGACACCGCCTCCTGGCAGTCAGGCCCTGCTACCCTGATGTAGCCGTCACGTTTCACCCTGTCTTGGCACCTCCTGGTTCAGTCTTGCCAGGCCAGCGGAGACGGGGAGCTCAGAGGGGCTGCCCTTCGCAGCACCCAGGCCAGCGCCTGGGTTGAGCCCACAGGGGAGGTCCTGGCCTCCCAGGGCTCTGGATGCACGGTGTCTGTACCCGGGCCTTAATGTAACAGGCTGTGGTTAGCCCCATCCCTCACCGGGGTCTTCTGGAATTCTGCGCCTTGACGCTAGATGTGCTGAGCATTAGCATTTCCCTTACCAGTTGTGGTTTTGAGGGTATAGAGGAAAACAAAGAGCAGCCTGGAAAACTTTAAGAACAGAGGAATTCGTCTTAAGAAAGAGCGTGGACAAGATTGTACCTGGGTAAGAAAGAAGCCGTCCTGTCAGAGCTGGGCTTCTGTGGGTCCAGCCATAAGCACGCACCTTCCTTCTCTGCCTCCTGTGCGCAGGCGCCTTCATGGAGGCCAGGGGTCCACCTGTGATCCCAGCGGTAGTCAGGGGTCCTGAGGCGCTTGGGAAGTGTCGAGGTCAAGCCCTGTCCATCCAGGCGGGAGGGTCAGGATTGGCCTTCAGATGTTCTAGAACCAAACGTGAGAAGACATGGATGAAAAACAAAGGAAGACGGAGCTCTTTGGTTCCAGAAACAATGCATCTGACACCCTGGTGCGTGACCGCATCTTGGACAGCCAGTGGTGTGCACGCTGCACTTGCCTTTGGCTTCCCACCGGCGGGCGTTTCTATTTCTCCGTGTGGGTGCTGTGCGACTGCCAGGACGAGGCAGAAGGGGATTTCGAGGCCAGCGCTCAAGCGACATGTTTGGTTTTAGGGGAGACCCTGTGGAGCCACCCCAGTAGCTTTGGAGGGAACGCTTCCAGCCTGAGCTCTTTACTCCGACTGCCCGACGTCGATGCTGACGGGGCTCCAGACCTGCTGGTTCTCACCCAGGAGGAGAAGGAGGTACCGCTCCCCCCACCAGCTGGCTCACCGCGGCCCACTCACCATCAGGCCTCTTCTCTGCCCTTGGTCCACTTTCACTTTTTTTTTTTTTTTTTTTAACGTTTATTTATTTTTGAGACAGAGAGAGAGACAGAGCATGAACAGGGGAGGGGCAGAGAGAGAGAGGGAGACACAGAATCGGAAGCAGGCTCCAGGCTCTGGGCCATCAGCCCAGAGCCCGACGCGGGGCTCGAACTCACGGACCGCGAGATCGTGACCTGAGCTGAAGTCGGACGCTTAACCGACTGAGCCACCCAGGCGCCCCGGTCCGCTTTCACTTCTTGGCAGAACTTGGGTCTGACCATTGGTCAGGGGCCTCACTCAGGGCCCTGTGCTCTTGGTACCTGCCGACTGGCCAGCTGGGGCGGCTCTGTCCCTGTTGGGCAGCTTCTGGGCCTTCCCAAGAATGGCAGAGCCATTTGGGCCAGTGCAGCCTCGGGGGTGGGGCCCTGTAGGCTGGCATGGGGCTGCCAGCGTCTCCCAGGAAGGTTTTACCCCCCTCTCCTCTGTGTTACAGGTTAGCGGCTACATCTATTCAGGCAGCACTGGTCACCAGATTGGCCACCGAGGCAGCCTTGGTGTGGGTGGGACCAGTGGCTCCCTCCTCCATGTCACCAGGATGGGTGCTCACTACATCCTTTTCCCTTGCGGTATGTCGTGCCTGCCGTTTCCAGGACTGTCCCTCTCACGGAAGCCACGCCCCTCTGAGAAAGCAGATTGGGGGTGGGGTTGGGACCGTGGGGAGGCATATCAACTCCTACCCTTACAGGAGAGACACGAGTTGGTCACTGACAGGCTCAGAAACCAGAGGGTCTCCGCACCCAAGGCTCAAGGAGGACACCTGTGTCCCGGCAGCAGGGCTCGTGAGGGGACTCCTTCCTGCCAGCAGCAACTCGAGGCACTTCTGTGTTTCCAACAGCAAGCTCCCTCTGTGGTCGCTCTGTGAAGGGTCTCCATGAGACGGTGACCGGGAGAGGGAGCCCACTGAAGAGAGACCCGCTCTGGGAGGGCATGCTCAACGCCACCACCCACGGGCTGCTTTGGCGCAGGTTGGTCTGGGTGGCGGATGGCACAGGTGGTCCCGTCCCAGTGCTTGGAGCCGTCGAGCAGGCCAAGGGGCGAGGCCCTGCCTGGTGCTGGGCTCCAGGGCTGCCCTGGGCTCAGACTCAGGAAGCGGGCCTACAGCATCTCAGAAAAGGCCAACGGGAAGGTAGGTCCCCGACAGTGGGCTCACCCTCATCTCTGTACACAGCCAGGGTCCTGACTCCTCTTAAACCAGAGAAGCAGGGAGCGTGGGCTGAGCCGGGAGCTGGAGAGACTCAGCCCAGCAAGCAGCCCGTGGGGGTGGGTCCTGCCTACCTCTGTGTCCCAGCCGCATGCCTCTGGCTCTCTCCTCCCTTAGCCCTGGAGCCATCCGCTACCTGATGACCGTTCCAGGGAAAGTGGGTGAGGACCTCCTCCTCGTGAGTTCAGAAGCCTGTGTGCTGTTGGACGGGCAGGAGCTGGCACCCAGGTGGATCTTCAGCACAGCCCGGGTCCTGAGGTACAGCGTCTTTCTCCAGGAACCGCGCAGCGATTGCAGGCCAGGCGCGCTCAGCCTGTCCCTTGGCTGCAGCCCTGGGACGAGGCCTGCTGTTGGTGGGGGGATGCCTGTGTGCTTCTGCCCAAAGCCTCTTGCCCATCACCTGGTGACACTGTGTCACCCCTCTTGCACTGGAGGAGCCGGTGCAGTCCTTTCAGCCCTGGCCTCAGCCTCCGTGCTGGCCCTGGTGTGGGCAGGTGTGGCCAAGGGGAAGACCGGGGGGTATACCAGTTCCCAGGTATTTCCTCACAGAGGTCCTGTGCGAGCTCTCCTGCCCTGTCTTCTTGCAGAAGACCCATCCTTGGCTACTACAAACCTGACACCTTGGCTGTGGTCATTGAAAATGGAACCGGCATTGACAGACAGGTTGGCTGCACCTGCTTTCGAGGCCCCACCTTTGTTCATAGTTGAGGGACGTTAGTCCGCACAGCCCACGGGGCCGCTCTGGAAGACTGAGCCGGAACAGGAGAGGCCTCAGCGAGATACCTTGGTGGCCCTCGGGGAGTAGCTCCTCCGGGGCTGGCCTAGCTGGGGCCCGTGGGCCTGTGCAAGCCCCACCTGCAACCCTCTACACTGTCCCCCTCCCACCCTAGATCCTGCTCCTGGACCTCAGCACAGGGGCCGTCCTGTGGAACCAGGCCCTCCCGGGCCTCCCCGGGGACCCGCAGTCCGCCAGCCTGCCAACCGCAGACCACCGCTCAGCCTTCTTCTTCTGGGGTCTCCACGAGCTGATGGGCACCAACCAGACAGCACAGGTGGGGCAGGCGCAGAGGGGACACGCCCATGCCAGGGCCAGAGACCAGAGGCCAGGCTTGGGTGCTGCCTTGAGGCACCCGGGAGCTAAATGGGTGGCTGCATGTGCACACATAAATAGAAGCCATGGGACGGTGGGTGGGCCACAGAGGAGGCCAGGGCCGACGTCAGCCTCAAGCAGGTGATGGGGATTGGGGAAGAAGTGGGGGTACGTCAAGGAGGGCAGGCGCAGATTTCCAACCAGAGCATTCCTGAGAAGGATCAGGGTCAGGTCAGAAGAAAAGGAACGGAAGGTGGGTGCAGAGTGGAGGACCCTGTGGACACAGCTCTGGGCAGGGTCACTCTGTCGCGGTGTCCTGTGACGGCAGGCACAACATGGCCCGGCAGTGAGCCAAGGACGCTTAGTTTCTCCGATCTGGCGCTGGTGACAGCCACGGCGGGCCTCATCGGCTTCACGCTCCATTGCCGTTTCTTGCTCTAGGAGCCCGGAGACACCCAGCACAGCCTGTACATGTTCCACCCCACCGTGCCCGGCGTCCTGCTGGAGCTGGCCAACATCTCCGCCAACATCGTTGCCTTCCAAGGTGAGCGCGGCCTCGTGTGGGCCGAGGGCCTGCCTCCTGCCGGGTCTCCTCTGGCTGGTCCTGATTGCCACGACGGCTGTGTCTCCTGTAGCGGTCCTGTTTGAGCCAAGCCGCCACGCTGCCTACGTCCTCCTGACGGGCCCCACTCGCCAAGACGCTCCTGGCGTGGTCTCTGTAGCCAAGCACAAGGTGCGGGACCTCGTCCCGAGCAGTAGGGTGGTTCGCCTGGCCGAGGGCGGGCCTGACAGTGACCAGGCGGTCCGGGACCGGTTCTCCCGCCTGCGGTACCGCAGCGAGGCCTAGACGCCTGGTGGCCAGCGAGGTGCGAGGGGCTCCAGCTGCTGAGATTAAACACCGTGGGACATCGGTCTTTCGCTCGGTTTGCACGCTGACCCCTCTCGTCTCCGTCGTGCCCAGGGACGTGCGTGGGTGAGGGGATGGCCGGGCCTCTCCCTCATGCGCCGCACACCACGTCCCCGCAGGTCCTCGCTCTGCCCCACTGGGGTCCTGCTCATGGCCGGCTGCCTTCACCGTGGCCTCTCTGGGCTGCCTTGGGCACAGCTGGGCCCTACAGCACCACTCTCACTTGTCCACACCTGGCTGGAGGGGCCGGGGCTTTGGGAAGAGCCCCAGCCTGCAGAAGTCCCCTCCCTCGTCCCATCTGCACCCACCCTGTCTGCACATCTCCCTGGGGCCTGCGGTGGCCTCAGGGCAACAGCCAGGCCCTGAGGCCATTCCAGCTTCTGGCCTTTCTCAGAGCAAAGGGGGGGGCTAGACTCTGGTGTGGTTGGTGGACACTTGCCCTGGGGGCCCCTTTGACAGGCCCGTGAGGAATGGGATGCCTTGGAGCCGTGAGGCTGGCCTGCTGCTCATGGACGCGCTGAGGGGCATTTTCACCCCTGTGCTGTGAATGTCGCGAGGAACCGGCCGTAAGGCCCACACTGGGGTCAGTCTGTACCCCCTCAACACACACTGGAGCTGCTTGTCCCTCGGGGGTCCCTACACCCCTGGCCAGTGCCTGGCCTCCTCCTGGTGCTCAGAAGTCCTTGGCCGGCAGTGTCACCTGATGCAGGACTCACCTCTGTGCCTTGCTGTGCCCCAGGCCTACCGCGGTGCTGTGTGGGGCTCAGTGTGCCCTGATGACCCTGAGTACCACCGGAAGAAGCCGGAATAAATGATTTGCACTGAGAGCATGTGCCTCATGTGTGTCTGCTCCAAAGGGGTGAAGGGGATTTGGTGCTGGTCAGGCTGCTGGATCACGGAAGAGGTGGGGGACCCTCTACCCGGTTCCCGTCCAGATGAGCAGTGGGGACACGAGGAGCTTTGCTTCTTGGCCTCTAAGTGCAGCTCAGGTTTGAAGACCCCTCCCTGGTCTCTCCAGTTCAAGTCAGGAACCCAGCCTGTGGACGTGGATATGCCCCCAGCGGGACAGGCAGGGTCCCCTGAGCACCCCTGTGTACTCCAAGGGCAGCTGTGCAGGCAGCAGGAGCCTGGGCAGGGGGGGGCTTCAGGGAGACACCGCTCTGGAACCGAGGTGAGGGCGCTTATCCGAGAATCCTGCGGGAACCTCCCGTGTGCACGTAGGTATGGAAAGCCCCGTTTCCCAGCTGCACAGACAGGAGCCTGGGAGGGACAACGCCGGGGGGGCACCCTCTGCCACGGAGCAGGCCCCTCGTTGCGGAGAGAAGCCGCCCGGTCCGCACAGCCTCAGGCCCCGCAGGGTTGTGGTGGCAAGTCCACGGACAAGAATCCCCGAGAGTGGTGCAGGGCTGGGGGCCGCCCGCAGCAGTGCCGGAGGAGCCTGAGCGGGAGGGACCCCCGCCCACCCCCCACCCCCCACCCCCGCAGGTCCTGGGGCCGGGGGCAGGGGTTAGGCGCGGGCTCCAGGAGAGGCCTGCACTGGGGGGCATCTCGCTCCACGGACTTGTGCCTCCGATCGCTCTGGGGCCCTGACCCAGCCAGGCTCCCTGGGACTCGGGCCTGGCCAGGAGTTGCTGACCGGCACCAAGGGCCCGCCCTCCCCACTGGAGCACTCGGCCATCCTTGTCCTGCCAGAGCACGGACGCCGTTCCCCACCGTCTCCTCTGAAGACCCCCGAGTCTGCGCCTGAGTCCTCTGCTCCCCACGTGGGACCCTGCGTGCCGACGTCTTTGACGCCTGGACGTTCCCCCCCTCCCCCGTCCCCCGCCACTGCCCGTCTCGCAGACACCTCATGCGCCACACGCCTCGCGGACACGCCCCACGCCTCGCGGACACGCCCCACGCACACGCCTCACCGG